TAAGAATAAGGGCAAAAAAAAACACACACACACACAAAAAAAAATCTCTCCTCTTCAAAGGGTGTTGCAGATTTTCTATTCACCTCTTATAACTTGGAACAGCCTCTATCTGTAATTTGAAGAACCCCAGGAAGAAATGGCATGAAAACTTTTGAACTTCTTACTTACAAAGCTATTATCTAAAGAAAAAAAAGTCATTGTGGTACTATCTTCTCTGAACAAAAGTATATTCACTTCCCATATATAGCAGTAATACTTGGCCTACACTGTGCCTCACCTCATCCAAGTCTACAAAACAAAATAAAAATGAGGTAGTTACACTGACTATCACAACTGCCCACTTGTAGATTTTTAAGTTAAGGCTGAGGGAGATTCAGAGACTTTTTCAACTAGAGAGGATCCATATCACATGGATGTACCACAATTTGTTTAGCCATTCTCTAGTTGAGGGACATTTGGATTGTTTACGCTGTGTAGCTAATAAAAATCATGTTGCTATCAATATTGGTATACATGTCTGTGTGTGGACATTGGCTTTCTTTTTTTCTCTCTTGATAGATCCCTAGAAGAACTACATCATGTGGTAGGTATATGTTTTACTTTTGTGGGGGGGAAGGGGATATGGGGGGGGGTCGGTCATGGTACTTGAACTCAGGGCCTAGGCATTGTCTCTGAGCTTTATCGCTCAAGGCTAGTGCCACAGAGCCACTTCAGGTTTTCTGGAGGTTAACTGGAGATAAGTCTCACAGAATTTCTTGCCTGGGCTGACTTCAAACTGCAATCCTCAAATCTTGGCCTCCTGAGTAGTTAGGATTACTGGTGTAAGCAGCTGGCGCCTGGCTTACGTTTTACATTTTAAGAAACAGACAAACCATTTTCCAAAGTGGATGTTTAGATTTTCACAAACCACACTTTAAAAAGTGCCAACATCTGGAAGTGGTGCTGTGGCTCAAGTGTAGAGAGAGTGCTAGCCTTGAGCTGAAGAGCTGAGAAACAATGCCCAGGCCCAGAGTTCAAGCTCCATGACCAACAAAAACAAACAGACAAAAAGTGCCAACATCATATGGAAGTAACAACCGAAAAGAGGTTATAGGTCTCAGAGAAGGTGCATAGGTAAGAGAAAATATCTCATCCACAGTAGAAAAATCACACAAAAACAAGTGAAAAAATAACTTCCAGTAAAGCCACTCTAGCTACAAGATGAGTTACAGGTGTTTTCCCGATGGAATTTAAGGGAGCACAACTGTTTAAATAAAACCAATGTAAGATCAACTCTATTTTAGAAATCTAAAATGTACAGAAAGCCTGGCACTGGTGGCCCATGCTTGTAAATCATAGCTACTCAGTGTAAGGTCTGCCCCTGGATGCCCCTTACCTGAATACCACATGAGTGCTACTGTTCTTACCCCTCTCTCTGCTCTTTTCTAGCTCTTTCCTCTCTCTTTCCCAGCTCTCTCTCATTCCCAGGCCTTTCCCAGCCACGTGGAGTGCCAACATTGCCTGGTCCCAGCAGGTCTACTGAATAAACCTACCCCTTACCTGAATACCACGTGCGTGCTGGTGCAGTTCTTACTCGGCTATCTCTTTTTAAAAACCTAACACTCAGGAGGCTGAGTTCTGAGGATCTGGGTCTCAAGCCAGCCCAAGCAGAGACTCTTCTCTCTAATTAACCACCAAAAAACTGGAAGTGGAAAAAATGGCTCAAGTAGTAGAGTGCTAGTTTTGAGCAGAAAGCCCAGTGGGAACCCAAGGCCCTGAGTTCAAGCTCCAGTTCAAAAAATAATAATTAAAAAAATGAAAAGAAAGCCAACCATAATGTCCATGTAACCAACATACAAGGGCAGCTCCCAAGAATGTATCTACAGCTGGGTGCCGGTAGCTCATACCTGTAATTCTACCTACTCAGAAGGCTGAGATCTGAGGATTGTAGTTTAAAGCCAGCCCAGGCAGGAAAGTCCGTGAGACTCTTATCTCCAATAAACCACTGGAAAACTGGAAGTTGTGCTCTGGCTCAAACAGTACAATACTAGCCTTGAGCTAAAAAGCTGAAGGACAGTGCCCAGGCCCAGAGTTCAAGCTCCAGTACTGACGGAAAAAAAAAAAAAAAAAGAATTTATCTACAAGTTAGACACTAAGCTAAGCTTTGTTTGGATTCACAAATAGCCATGTCAATGATCATTATCTCCATTTTATGAGGGAAAAAAAAATCAAAGGCAAAGAGAAGAATGTAGCCCTAAGGCTATATAATTTGTAAGAGGTGAAAGCAAATCTCTGAGACTACAGACAAAGCTATCTATGCTAACTATGCTAACTACTGTGCTAACTACTGCTGCATCTTCAGGTTTCACAGGCCCTCCAGCTGGCCTGAAAATGGCTCCCAGAAACAGAACCATACCATCCCTTAAAGCACACTGCAACTTGGTTTCTAATTTTGTACTTATTAGGCAACTTTCTTTTATTGCTTGTTTTCCACAGCCTATTTTCTACTTTGAAAAATAGGATCTGACAAGTCAAAAGGAATAAAATAGATATAATTGGAAGTGGTATATCTTAGAGTAAACTGATACTACCCATTTTGGTTTTGAACATTAACTGACCAGGAATTTAGTTCACTTGGTCCAAATAGAAGCACTAATATTTGTTCTGAAGGACTAAGATAATAAGAGGAAAAAAATCACCAAAACAACCTAAGTTGGAAAAATGTGGCTGACAGAACTGCTACTATACATGTAGCTAAACATTCTCAGCAGTCTCCTTTCCTCTTCCAGTAGGATCAAGAAAAACATATTTTGCAAACTTCTAGTCTTTTGGGTGAAGATGAAAGGCAATGGCTTTAAAAGCTAAGAAAAAAAAATACATACCCATTTCAGTGGAGAGGACTGTTTAAGAACTCTTTTAGAAATTCTGGACAAGTAGCCTCAGGTCTTATTTCACTGCTTTATACTTCTGGCTTTTCCTGAGTAGTTTATTGGAGTTAAGGGTCTCTTACCAACTTTCCTGCCCGGGGTGGCTTTCAAACCACAATCCTCAGTTCTCAGCCTCTTAAATAGCTAGGATTACAAGCATGAGCCACCAGCACCCAGCTCCTACCTATCCTTTTATATTCTACCACATCCAGCTTTTCGATTTTATTACCCCTTTCCTGAAAATATATTTCACCATTAATCTAGTCTCTGACAAATAATCAGGAAATCTGAACTGCTAATTTTAGTAATTTATGACTTTATTTCAATTATTCCATATGAAGATTAAGGGAAAGGAAGAAGGAACCAGGAAAATAACTGTGGGACCAGTAAATGTTAGGCAGAAAAAGGAAGAAAAAAATACACAGTTTATGTGTTACATGTAGCTACATGAGCTGTGCTCATCTATAAAAAGGGAAGAAAAGATTTATCATAGCAATTCTATCGAAGTGTGTCATCCCACAAGTACCTAGCAAGAAAGATGATCATCTCAAGTTGGAACCCACTTTAAGAGAGAATTGATGGTAAGTAATGCAAACATGGAATACATATTTTAGAGATTTACCCAGTAAATCTCCCATGTGTATCAAGAGTCAATTTGTGTGTCTGGGAGCATGAGAAGGGACATCTGCTATCACTCACTTGGCTAAGGAGAAAATTTCAATCCTGAGAGATGTAACGGTCAGGTCGTATAGGTCCAAACAATTTCTGTCTAGAGACAGTTCTGCAAGGTTACTTGGTCTATAGTTCCTAGGAAGGAGAATTGAGGCTAGCCAGATAGTCTACTAGTGTTATTTAATGCCATGACTTTCTGGATAATAACTTTTGCTTGCTCTAGAACTTAATCCAACAATTGCACGGACAAAACCCATCCTAGCCTGTAAAACTGTTAACATCTATAACACACAAGGTTCATTAACGGAAGTTTCCTAGATGTTTATCTTACACATCTATTGGCTATTTACCTCAATAAGAAAAAAATTTAAGTTATATATACATTAGGTGGTTTACTCATTCACATTCTCTGCCCTGTTCCCTCTCTCCCATACCTCCTTCCTTCACTAATGGTACAGAGCAGGAGATGGTAATCATTATGTGTGAAGGGCCACATCAAAAACAGCTTAGGCTATGTGGACTCTCTCTTTGTAGTGCAAAAAACAGGCACCATAAATAATCCATAAACAAATGGTTGTAGCTATGTCCCAGAACATATTAATTTTGTTATTTACAAAAACAGGCATCAGAATACTGGGGTGTGGCTGAAGTGGTAGAGCACCTGGCTTGGCAAGGTCCTGTTCAATCCCCAGTAATGACAAGAAAAAGTTTACAAATCTAATTATAACTGAGACTGGTAGTTCACCCTATAATCCTAGATACATAGTGGGAGGGGAAGGAGGTGCAGAGATTGAGAGGTTGGCTTTGAGGCTAACCCAAGCAAAAAACAAGATTGCTATCTCAACCAAAAATTTGGTGTGTGGCATCCCACACATCAGGAAGTATGAGAAGATCACAATCCAGGCCTGGATAGGCAAAAGCAAGACCTTATCTCAAAAATAACCAGAAGAAAAAAAGGTTGGAGGCATGACTTGAGTGGGAAAGCACCTGCAGAGCAAGCACTGAATTCCACCCCAGTACTGCCAAAAACACGGAACAAAAACTCAAAACTAGCCTTAAGCCCAATTTGGCTTACAAAGCTATAGTTTAAAAGCTGTAGTTTGCCAGTGCTTGTTGTAGAGCAGAAATGTTTATAGCTTTCATCAAAATTACATATAGTACTTGTTAACACATAAGTTTCTGGACTTCATTTTTAAAGTTTCTAATTCAGGAAGTCTGTAGGAGGGCCTAAGATTTGTACAATATTAGTAAGTTCCCAGGTAGTGCCGATGCTCTTCATCCAGGACCACATTTTGAGAACCACTGATAGAGAACAATGGTCTATATTACACTTAGTGAAAGACTAAAATGTAATCAAAAGTTGAAACTACATGTTAAAAACATGACCACTAATTTTATAGAATATTTCACATGAAGACTTACTGTTGAGTGCCATTATATTATCTGTTCCAGGATGATGGAAATTTATTCCCATACGTCCTAAAAAATAAAATAATTTTATTTTAAGCACAGAAAAAAATTCAATATAATTATTTCAAATACATCATAAATATACACATTACAAAAAGCTAGAACAGATTAATTTATAACAATGTTATAAAAAGCCAAAGCATTTACAATTCTTAAGTCAAGTCATAAAACACATATGCAAAAAAGTCTTAAAACAAAACCAAAGTCTCAACATAAATAAAATATAACAGAACAAAAAAAGCTTCCAATAGTCTAAAGTTTACACATCTCCCACATTCCAATTTAATCATGCTTATTTCCGCATTAAGCAAGTTATTTTACACAATAATTCACACTGCCCTTCAAATTCAAGCAGAAAAAAAATTCAAAATATATAAACTTATACTTGAAGCTTAGAGAAAATAGAAACATGCTTTGTAATGGCTCAAAAATGCAACATTATCATCAGAATGACAGAGTGAAGAAAGATGGCAAAACTTACATAACAGACTGACCTAAAAACCTACATCTCTTATGCTACTTTACTACTAAGTATATTTGTGACCTTGGGCATAATGCTAAATTCTAGACCTGTATCCTGTATCCATAACAGGAATTGTTAACTCTGCTCATATTAGCCAACTTCTTATTTTTCTATACCACTAAGAATAATTTTCCTATTTTTAAAGGGTTACAAATAAGACAAAAACAAAGGATACTATATAAAAGAGGCTATATGACCTGTGAAACCTAAAATAGTTCCACTTGAGTTCCTTCAAAAGTTTGGCAACCCTTAGTCAATAATGTAAGATGGGATCAGATGTTGCAGGAATGATGGTCCCCAGAGTAAAAACTAAAAGATAGGGACATTTGATGTGTTTTTTTTTTCATTAATTATGGGAGAGAAGGGGAGAACAAAAGAAAAATCTTAAGTCTTTTATGAGGAAACAATGTACTTAGTACGATTTCTTGCTCAATTCTTTTTTTTTTTTTTGGGTCCGGTCATGGGGCCTGAACTCTGGGCCTGGGTACTGTCCCTAAACTCTTCAGCTGAAGGCTAGCGCTCTACCACTTGAGCCACAGCGCCACTTCCGGCTTTTTTGTTTTTGCTAATGTGGTGCTGAGGAATCGAACCCAGGGCCTCAGGCATGCAAGGCAAGCGCTTTAACCACTGAGCCACCTTCCCAGCCCCAATAATGTTTTAAATTGCCGAGGTTCTGAGTGCTCTATATAGGCTTTTTTTGTTTTTTGTTTTTGTTGGTCGTGGGGCTTGAACTCTGGGCCTGGGCGTTGTCCCTCAGCTCTTCAACTCAAGGCAAGCGCTCTACCACTTGAGCTACAGCGCCACTTCCTCTTGCTCAATTCTTTCAACAAAAAACTTACTGAAACCCTAACTAGTATATAATCTAGTATCTGTGAACAAGGCTCTGCAAGATTTTTGTGACCTATTATGTCCAGGTTTATCATGATATTCTCAGTTTTATTAATTTTATTTCACAATCACAGTCTAAGTATATGTGAGGTAAGAATGATAAACAACTGTAGTTTTAAAAAAAGTGATGAGCCTGGCACTGGTGGCTCATGCCTGTAAACCTACTCAGGAGGCTGAGATCTGAGGACTGCAGTTCAAAGTTAGCTAGGGCAGGAAAGTCCATGAGACTTTTTTTTTTCTTTTTGCTGGTCCTGGGGGCTTGAACTCAGGGCCTGGCTGCTGTCCCCTGAACTTCTTTTATTCAAGGTTAGTGCTCTACCACTTAAGCCACAGAGGCACTTCTGGCCTTTTCTGAGTGGTTTGTTGGAGATAAGAGTCTCTCTGAGGGGCTGGGAAGGTGGCTCAGTGGTGGAGCACTTGCCTTGCATGCCTGAGGCCCTGGGTTCGATTCCTCAGCACCACATAAGCAAAAAGAAAAAAGCTGGAAGTGGCGCTGTGGCTAAGTGGTAGAGTGCCTTGAGCTGAAGAGCTGAGGGACAGTGCCCAGGCCCAGAGTTCAGGCCCTACAACCGGACCCCCCCCCAAAAAAAAAAAAGAGTCTCTCTGACTTCCCTGCCCAGGATGACTTTTATCCTTAGGTCTCAGCCTCCTGAGTAGCTAGGATTACAGACATAAGCCAGTGACACCCAGCTCTGTGAGACTCTTATCTCCAGTTAACCACCAGAAAATCAAAATTGGCACTGTGGCTTAAAGAAGCTTTAAGCAAAGGAGCTCAAAGTACTGCACCCTGAGTTCAAGCACCATGACCAATAAAAGAAAAAAAAGTGATGAACTTTTCACCAAATATAGTTTTAGTATAGGATTGTCATCATTTAATAGTCAACTCCTCTAAGTAGGTATTCAATGGCCCAAATGAAAAGCTTCCTAGTGGACAGAACAGAATAATGCCTCAAATAAAAAGAAGTAATTATGAATTCCTAAGCAAATCACATCTTTTGTCTAATCAAGACCACCCCAATTTTTTTTCAGTACTGGAGCTTGAACTCAGGGCCTAGGCACTGTTCCTTAGCAAACTCAAGGCTGGTACTTTACTACTTAAGCCAAACTGCCACTTCCAGCTTTTTGATGGTTAATTGGAGATAAGAGTCTCTTGGATTTGTCTGCCTGTGTTGACTCTGAACCTCAATCCTCAGAGTTCAGCCTCCTGAGTAGCCACAATTATGGGGATGATGCCTGTCTTATCCTAATTTCTTGATAATTGTCAAAGGTCATTTCGTATTAAGAACTGGTGTGAATGGGCTTGGGGCTATAGATCTGTGATAGAATTCTGACCTAGCATGTATGAGGACCTGGGTTTGATCTCTGGCACTTCAAAAAAGAAAGAAGACAGAAGAAGGAAGGAAGGAAGGAAAAGAGAGATAGAGAAAGACCCTCAAAAGTAAATCATGTGTGGGTATGTTAAAGGGAAAGTCATCAAAAATTGATAGATTCTGATGAAACTGTTTCTGATTTTACCAATACACGTAAGAACTTCAATAAAAATTAATTTTTAGGACTGTGATGTAGCTCAGTGGCAAAGTGCTTGTCTACCAAGTGCAACATCTTGGGTTTGATCCCCAGTACCAAAAATAAATAGACAAAAAAATTACTTTAAACATTAGGACAAAAATATTGAATCTGGGGCTGGGAAGGTGGCTCAGTGGTAGAGTGCTTGCCTTGCATGCCTGAGGCCCTGGGTTCGATTCCTCAGCACCACATAAGAAAAAAGAAAAAATCCAGAAGTGGCGCTGTGGCTCAAGTGGTAGAGTGCTAGCCTTGAGCTGAAGAGCTGAGGGACAGTGCCCAGGCCCATAGTTCAGGCCCCACGACCAGACCCCCCCTCAAAAAAATACTGAATTTGCCTCTGGTTTTACGAAGACTATTTTGCTGCCATTTATATTAGAATTTTTTTGAGATTATGTTTTCAATAGAAAAATGTCTATTTGGGGCTGGGAAGGTGGCTCAGTGGTAGAGCTGCTTGCCTTGCATGCCTGAGGCCCTGGGTTCGATTCCTCAGCACCACATAAGCAAAAAGAAAAAAAGCCGGAAGTGGCGCTGTGGCTCAAGTGATAGAGCGCTAGCCTTGAGCTGAAGAGCTGAGGGACAGTGCCCAGGCCCAAAGTTCAGGCCCCACGACTGGACAAAAAAAAAAGAAAAATGTCTATTTTATTTTCATGTATCATATATTTTTACATATTCACTAGAATTATTTGGATTCCCAAGAAGTAACCCACTGCTGAAAGATATATTTATGTGTTTATACATGTCATGGTGGCAAACTTAGTCCTGTTTTTGGCCTCCAGCTAAAAGGATCTACACAGATTCTCTTTAATGCTTGCAAAAATAAAACTGAAAGGGAGCTGGATTGTCTTCTATCATTCCCTATCCAATGCTGATTACTTCCAATTCAATTTTTTTCTAAGGAGCAGAACAAGAGCTTTAGGTGGTATTTTACAGATGGAAGGCATTACTAATTACTACTAAGCAGAGCACTTTTACATTTCCTGGTATTTTCCCTAATTCTATTTGTTTTCAGTGGATCTCTGGGTAAAAGTTAACATGGATTTCATAAGAAACTCTAGGTTAATGTTAGACTTATAGAACCAATGATCTAATTTTACTCTCCAAATAGAGCATTTTTTTGGAAAATCCTTTATAGGTTCTATACCTCTTTAAAAATTAATGTTTACATTATAAAATGCAATCTAATTTCATCATAGAAATTTTAAACAAGGGAAAATGAAGAAAATAAGATCAGCAAAGACAGCAGAGTTAACATTTTGATTCATTTTTTTGCAATTTAGGAAATGTGTATATGTGGAGATTTCTTTTCTAAGACTGGAATTATTTATCACAGTTTTCATAATTTGTTGTGATCTTAAATCCTATACCTATTAAGGAATCCTGGTGGGGGGAGGGGGGAGAGGGAGAACATTTGTAAGAAAAAAAAAAACAAAAACCTGATTCCACATTCAGATGAGGCCTTTTCTTTTTCTTCCTTTGGTCCAAAAAATACTGCTGTTTAATCAGCTGTGAAAACAGAATCAAGTGTGACATCTGGTGATTTTTGTTAATGCAGTCTGGTGCTGCCAGTGTGACATTTTTGTCACCTGTCCGGGGTCTGCTATTTTTAAATTGTTCTTGTCAGCTAGCTCTCTTTTAAGTGTAGTGTAAAATATAAGGTTTCATAAGCTGAAGGCATAGTTGGTGTTACTGAGTTAAATGATGCTGTGGCAAGCTGAGCCTGTGTCCCACTTTGCCCACTGCATAGGACCTAATAAGAGTTAAAGAGAATGAAGAAAAAGGTTGAAGGATAGGCTGACATGCTTGCTTAGACTGTAAAAATTAGTTTCATAAGCTCAATTCACATGCATATTTTGGAATCTAGTTTTAAAAACACCTCATTCTTACTCAAATCACAGAGTCCAAGTAAATCCATATTTTTGTGCCTCAAATAAAAATTGAAAATTTTAGTAATTTATAATTAACTGAAAAAGTTAGTAATTTATGAGGGCTACAACTGCTGTGCCTTCTTTTTTTGCGGAGGGGAGTAGTTATG